TACAGGCACAAACGGTTCAAAAAGGTCAGTTCATGAAGGACGACCAAAGGTCAGTTCAGCTGTCTAATGGCCACCAAGGCCGGTTGAGCAGAGGAACAAAAGTGCGAGAATTCCTTTAGAGATTGATGATGTTTAAGCTCCCTGAAAGCCTCTTATGATGCCATTAAAACAGTTTTCGCCGGGTTTCACTGAAGTTAATGGCGAACTTGACTCTTGACCCTTGACGAAAGTCTCAATTTCGTGGACAGTTTGAGCCACTTAAATCCCAGGTTGAGGTTCCTGCGGTGTGGCACATTTTCCTACTTCCATTCGAGATTTCACATTACTCCGAATTTTTTAAGTAGTTGAAGAAACGATCGCTCATTTCCGCTGCAGAGTCGGAGTCCCTTCAAGGAGATTCTGAAAAATTTGGAAAGGAAACAAATAATCTGTATGAGGAACTCGAAACTTTTCCCACCGTCCCACGAGGAATAGCATCAGCACATCAACGAAGAACGTTATACTTTACTATAGAGCCAGTCCGGGTACTTTTCAAAGGTATTTGAATTTTCTTTCCTGTTTCAAGCAGTCCACGGTCGGGACCATGTTTGAAAGGGGAAAATAAACAGGGACTGAGTCGGAGGTGTCAGAAGCCCCGTTGGCATAGATAGTCGGTTGTGCACAATTTGTTAACGGTCACATCGTCAAAGCGACGTCGTCGAGTCGTGGGGTTTCCTTTGTTTGCGCGGTCGTGTCCCAGAAATCGTTCGTAGAACAATGGAAAGAGAGAGAACACAGCGGAATTCTTAAACCCGTGAAGTTGTACCTAAATACGCATATAAATAATATTACGCATTTCTAGAACGGAAACAAGGGATGGGGGAAGTGTGCGTTGGAAAGCCACTTTGCATCACTTGAACCCGTACGCAAATTATGCAGAGGGGCGAGGAACCGGATCGTGAATGCGTGCCAGATTGGGAATGACGGGTCACGAGATGCGACACACGAGAAGCACGGTACTTGGACCGTGCTTCTCCGGTGTCCTCTCGTGTCCCAGTCATCTCCCGCACTCACAGTTCGTGCCTTCTTTAAGGGAATGGATGGGTTGAGAGTGTGATCCTCCAGAAACGGCTCGCATCTCGTGGGTCGTCATTCACCGTCCGCTAAGAGATCCGGTTCACGTGGATGGTTTCGGGGATCGTACTACCGCGACGAAATGCATAGATATTTAAAATCGAAAGGCATGAAGAGACTGCCAACGCTCTCTGGTCGGACGGACTCGTGTTCTGATGTCGGGGTGTGACTGCAAGGCGTCGCTAAATCGATAGGTGGGGGACCGATTCTACATCGCTTGCTGAGCTGATAACTTTGCCAACCCTTTGACCCATTTGATTTGAATAACCCTCCGGATCGATTCATGGACTGAGACTATTTTCTCGAAAAAAAAACCTCCCCCCCGAAAAACAACGCTTTCGCGCAACACATTCGGAAAGAATGACTTGATACGATCACTCTTTCGTGCCAGTGCGAGAACCCCGCTAATTTTTCTCGAACAGGAATCCCTCCACCTGTCTAAAAATAAGTTGAAATACAAAAAATTGTGGAGATTTAACGCCGCGATACGGCTCCGGATGGCACCATTTTGGACTTTTCTGAATACAACATCACGTGAACAGATGCATTTTACCTTCCACCCTGCATCCACAATACTTAGGTAGTAAGTATAAAAAAGTCGTCATGCAGGCTTATCGTACGATAGAACGGTGCTTTCATTTTGTTTAGGCATTCTAATTTTCTCGATTCCATTAATTGTTGCCATCATCGCATTTCTAGTGAACTCGAAAGGACTTTCCCCCTTTGCTTCCCCGGGCAGGCCCGTTCCGAGGAGTGATGCGTCGCTGCTACCACGCCCCGTGCGACTCCATCCAGACGTTCGCAGACAAGGAGGCCCTGCAGCGGAACCTGCGATTCCTGGGCAAGGCGACGCAGGCCCTGAGCGACACGGTGACCGGCTTCGCGGACCGGGACTGCGGCTTGAAGGGCGCGAGCGAGAGGGTCTCTCCCCCGCCGCAGTTCTTCTACATCCCTCCGCGGTCACGGATGAAGCAGCTGCAGCATCTCGTTCGAAGCAGACTCGATCTCGAGGAGTGAAGGGATTCGTCTCGGTGGGGACTCGCGAGGGTGGGGTCGTGCCGTCCTCGATGCGACGTTTCCTCAATTGTTTTTTTTATTTAAAGATTGGTTATGCCGAAAAAACTTGGTAGTTTGACTTCGTAAGAGCTCGCCCTCGGTTATAATGGTTTTTCTACGGAAATTAAACATTTGTTTTGTTGTTGGTGAAACCCGTATTTTCACGAAGTGACCGATATTGGAACCATTAGCATTTTCCTGTCTGCCAAGATATTTTAAGCATTTTATTAAATGCGTACTCCTTCCAGGCATTTCTTGAAACGACAGAAAACTCTTCCGTGCAACACGTCCTCGAGTCGATGTGGCGGATTTGACGGGACTCTTCCCAACACTTCGAGGATCCGCCCCTTCCTCTCATGCAACGAAGCACGAGGAAACCTTGAAGTTTCCTCGTGAGTTGAAGAGACACGTTACTTTTTACGCACTCATTGTCCTGCGCGGTTGATTCAGGGATTTTGGCAGCGGACTTCACTCGGTAGCAGGAGCCTGTATCTGGATTTTTCAGCTTGCGGGTAGGTTCTTTAGCTTGCAGAGAAAAAGTTTTTTTTTTCTATTTTTTATTCCCTTGATGAATTCGTTCATCACGTGAGCATTGTTCACGAAATCTATCCACTTTCAAGGAAAAAGCGGCGAGGCACGCACCCATTAATTTTTCGCACGCACCCATTGCATTATTTCATTCGGATAGCAGTTTCCCCCCAAGCTTCGTCGTAAATCGAGACGTCGAATTAAGCATACTTGCAAAAATCTACAACCGACCCTTTGACGGAGTCTGTTTAATGAAGCAATCAGCATGCTTTGAAAATAATTACCGACTTCGGGTCCTCTGATTCTTCCATGGAAAAACATTCGGATGATTCGCACAGCATTATGAGACTTAATGAATCGAGCAATAAAATTTGATGGGCTCTGATTATTCCTCACAATCGGAATAAAAATTCATAAGTTGAGTTTAATCTTACTTGTAATTATAAATACGATTAAACTCGTACTCGTAATTGTAACTACAATGCCAACATAATCGACCGATGTCAGATTATCAGGCCTTTATTTGCATGACTGGATTTATTCTTTCCTCGTGTCAGTTCACTTCCAGCGGGGAGAGTGAAAGGATCTTCAATTCCTTTTCCAAGACCGAATCGGAATTACGCGCGCATTAGATTTTATATCATGCGATTTTCAAATTGGGTAGCGAACATCTAGTTAGGTCGTTTTTATCCTCATCCAAAGAATTTGGTAGCTTCGAAGGAACGAGACCTGCCAAGATGGACAACAAGTCAACCTGACATTGATTCTTTCTTAAATATCGGGTATTGCACGTAGGTAGCCTCCCTCCCCTCCTCCACAGCCTAAACTAAAAGAGCTAGGAAAAAAACCCTCAAACATCACGAGAAAGAACATCCATTTTCGAATCTAAACATGTATCAATACATCTAGTAATTTGTGTGCACCCTGGCTGCCTCTCTGACAGCTTTAAGACGAGCGGGTAAGATGAAAAGAGACGCTTAAAGAATTCCGTATATTCTTCCATGTCCTTCAACACTCTGGTGACGTTGCTTTGCAAGGCTTACACGGAGAATCCCTGCTGCTTGCCCTCCAGATGCAAGAAAGCCTCAAGTCGATCTTTCAGGGTAACCCCGATGTTAGTCACATTCAATAACTAGAGTTTCCACACCACTCCGCATTTCCAAAGAAATCGATCCCCCGAGTCTTTCAGCATTTGCTGTGTGGTCAAAGCTTTGAAAATTGGGACTTTATCATGCAGAAGCTGAATGTTTAAATTTTTCGAAACAAATGAATGGATAACTAATTCAGCTCCGGCATCACGAGCTTCTTGAAACTAATGGATGCGCTCGATGAATTTATTTCCTCAGCACCATTTGACACCAGAAACAACAAACTGGAATTGAATAGAATCAAAATTGAACAATTACGTTTTATTTTTTTCCTAGTAGTAGCTTAGGCTACGGGGGGGAGGGGGTTATCTATGTGCAACACCCGGTAGAAAAAAAAGACATCTGCGTACTGCGGATGTCTCGAATGAAACTCGGTCCTCCATCACCATCGCCCAGTCAAAATCGAATCCCGACTGCCTGTGATTGATGGATGGCTCTTCTCGGTCTGAATCAAATTTATTTCAAGAGGGAGTAAAGGGGACATTCATTTATTGCGTTACCATTTTCCAAGGAATTCAGCAACCCCGACAATTCACGCGAAACTGGTTAACTTGACAATAATTTTTAAAATTATTTCTGCACTGAAATTAAGAGCAAGACTATTGAAAATGGCAGCAATGATGATTAATGTCAAATAATAAAAAAAGTATAAGTTCCAAATCCTGCGATAAAAAAGTTAATAGCATGAACAGTGGAATAATCCTTTCTTCCGTGATCCTGAAAACTTGAAGCAAAATTAAAAAGCGACGACGCAGTGGTCAATTTCCCATACTCCCACCCCAAAAGGCTATAAGCAATTTTTAAAAGGCTCCAAATTTGAAAGATTTCATTGCAGAATTCTGTTACTGAAACCCTTAACTTCATGCTTCATCTTCCTAACCATTTTGCATCTGAACCCACAATATAATTAGGCTCAAAACTTCCGAGCATAATAATAAGGGATTTTTTCCCAGGATTTCACCATACGCAATGAGACTTGTCACAATTATCTCAAATCATTTCAGGAAATGCCTGAAGCAGATAAGAATATCATGCTGGTTCTATCAAGCATCCCAGAACATGCCACAATACAAAAGAAATCACACAATTTGCCAATTGCACATATATTTAATATGTTCCAATATTCAAAAGGCAAAAAATATTCAGAGATAACATCCTCCATATATTGCACAAAAAACGCCAAAGGCATATTAAAAAATCACCATAGAAAATGGCACAATATTGAATGAGTTCCTTCAAAATGAGATTCCATTGACCAAAAGCACCAGATGAGGCTCAATGTGAAGGACTGCAAGAAGCTTACTATGATGCACATGAAAGAGATGCATTCTATTAACAGGGGTGGAGTAACTGGAAAGAGGTATTGGGAATTATTGAATTTCTATTCCCTCTGACCATGGGTTGGAACTCAAAGCCAGGCATGAGGAAAGGATTGGAAATTTTGTCAATATCTTGCTTGAGCACTGCAATCAAATATATAATCTTCCTTTGTTAGTAGGATCTTGCAAGCTAGAGCGGAGGCACAATTGATGAAACATGCAAAATCATTTATCTCAGTCTCTGAAAGCTTACTTTCCTATTCCTCAGTTACAATACCTGTCCTCACCAGTTACATCTCTTCAAAGCCAGGCATAAAGAAAGGCTCAGAAAAGTTTTCAATATCTTGCTTGAGAGCTGCAACCAAACCCTTGAAGGCATCATCTTCCTTCATCAATTTTACAAAGTCTACCAACTTGGGGCCTGACTTGCCCTGGATCTCACATGCCAAAGTTATGGCACGATGGATAAAATTTGCAACGGTCTTCATGTCTGCCTCTTTCATGCCTCGAGATGACAGTGCAGGTGTGCCAAGTCTGATTCCACTGGGGTTCATTGCACTCTTGTCCCCTGGAACAGTGTTCTTGTTACAGGCAATGGAAACAGCCTCCATGACCTTCTCAGCCTTGGATCCTGTCAGCTTTTGTGGACGGAGATCGAGGAGGATCATGTGGTTGTCTGTGCCACCAGTGACAACCTTGTACCCCAAATCCATAACAGACTTGCCCAGCTGCTGTGCATTTTTAACCACTTGCTCCTGGTAGGTCTTGAAGAAAGGCGATTGAGCCTGCTTGAGAGCAACTGCAATTCCTGCAATTGCATTGTCATGGGGGCCACCCTGCAGACCAGGGAATACTGCCTCGTTGATGCGTTTCTCTAGATCATAGTAGACCTTCTCTCCAGCTTTACCAACTGAGCGAACACCTTTACGGTAGAAGATCATGCCTCCTCGTGCTCCACGCAATGTCTTGTGAGTTGTTGTAGTGACAAGATCGCAATGCTTGAAAGGACTTGGAGATACACCAGCAGCTACAAGTCCACTTACATGAGATATATCTGCCATCACATATGCTCCCAATTCATTAGCAATCTCTCTGAATCTAGCATAATCTAGGTGACGGGAGTAACATGTGATTCCTGCAATGATGAGCTTTGGCTTGAACAGGCGGGCAGTTTCTGCCAGCTTGTCGTAGTCTATCAACCCAGTCTCTGGATTGACCTTGTAAGGCATGGACTCAAAGAAGATGGACGTAGCAGACACACGCTTTTGGGCTGTCATGAAACCATGGGTCAAATGACCACCATCAGGTAAGTCCAGTCCCATGATCCTTCCATGAGGCTCAACCACACCAGTGTATACAGCAAAGTTGGCTGGAGAACCTGAATATGGCTGGACATTCACACCCCATTCCTCAGGATTGAGGCCAAAAGTTTCCAGTGCTCGTTTCTGACAGAGTAGTTCAACTTGGTCCACATACTCATTCCCTCCATAATACCTGGCCCCTGGATAACCTTCTGAGTACTTGTTGTGCAGGCAGGAGCTCAAGGCCTATAAGAAACAAAGTACTCTTAAAAATGAGAAGCAGATTTTTCAACAGTGTATTAGGAATGGTGCAGAGCATAATAATTGGAGCTCATACCTGTAAAACAGCCTTAGATGTGAAGTTTTCAGATGCAATCATTTCTAATCCTTTCTTTTGCCTGGACTTTTCTTTTGTCAGGAGTTCATAGAGTTCAGGGTCCTCCAGATCAAGAGTGGCTTGAAGATTTGGTCCCTCACTGGAAGCCATTGTCCTTAGCAGTGTAAGTCCTGGAAGCCTAAAAAAATTATCATCCTCTTAAATCAATATCAATAAGCCTAAAACATATGAAAAAGAAGAAAAATGTTTTTTTTAATATTTTATTAATTTTATGCAATTTTATATTATATTTTATATTTTTATGCATTTTATTCAATAATTTTATTTAAATTACTGAAAGAAGTATAGGTGTAAGTGTATGAGTAGGAAACCTTCATCTTTCTTCTTTTGCTCCTCTACAACCTTCCACAAAATTTTGCATGCAAGTAATGGAATGCCCAGGAAGCCACTTTGCCCATTTGTAAAAGTTTGAAGGGATATTCTGCATATTACTTTTAGAGTATGATAAGATTGTAGAGCTTCCTGTATCTAATGATACAGGAAGCCTTCCTGATCTAATGATCATTAGGTACAATAAGGTTTGAATCTTTCCATATAGTTTCCAGTAGTTACCAACACTTATGGAAATCAAACTGCAATGCTGAAAGGAAGCCTTTAACCCTTTCAAGTATGAACTTTTCAAGCAAAAGAAAAATATTCCTTTCATGGTTTGACATTTAAGGAGGTACTCTGCCATTCTGTCATAGTAGTCACATGTTTCACCATAAGAAAGCAACATTGAAGAGATTATGTGCATACACCAAAAGCTTCAAGGTATGTGTATCATGGCTAAAAATCATCATCATTGCCAACAATTTTGCCATCCACTATAGTGGACACCATGCATGGAAGGGTTAATCATTGCAAGCCAAGCACCCAAAACAATGATTTCAATATGAACCAGGTGAAAATATATATTATTGATAGGCAATGCAGAAGTGGGCCATTCAAGGATTAGCAAACAGGTATAAGGTGAAATAAATTTTACAAGCAGGTTACCAGGCCTGAGAATGTCCACAGGACCTGGTTTAGAATGACATTAAGATGCTCACAACACACCTTACATCTCGCAGAGTTGTGACTCTATTTGTTACCAACTTCACCCCGGACGCATGAAATGGCAGATCTAGGATGAGGGCGTGAATTCTAGGGATAATCCTGGCCATACCTACCATCAACTAACATCCATGCATGTAAGTTCCTAGGACAGGAATAATCCCAAAAAATGATCAATAAGCCACTAAACTCAATAATGGCTTAGACCTGCGAGTGTTGATGTATCTGATGCCATCCTTGGAACTATTTGGAACCATAGACAGCAATCAAAAGCAATAACAAATTGCCCAAATTTAGATTACACAGTTTATGGATAGAGAGAATTTTGAATCTTGGCAAGTTGAAGAAATCAAAATCCTTGGTAAGGGTGGGGGGGTATTCCAGCTGGTAAACTATGCACACTGACATTAACCAGGAATTAGCCAAAATTCTACATCCATGCATGGAAGATCCCAACAGAAACTTCTAATTACCCCTCTGCTCTAAAACACTTTCAATTAAATCAGTTCAGACATAGAATATGGGAATTTTACCACTCCATATCAGGTGAAACCATTCAATGACCAGGCTTAAATACAAGCACAATAGACTGTTATCTGTGTAATGCCAGAATTCATACCATAGTGTTGATTCATATTGGGACTTTAAAAAGCTTCAAATAGGGGCCTGCTTAATGGCTGGTGGAGTTGAGCTTTCATATCAGCGTTTTAACTATAAGTTTTCTCCTTTAAAGTTGACTTTAAAAATGTATATTCTTTCAAGTGATGAAAATGATAGACAAGATAGATTTCAATCAAAGGCAGGAAAATCTCAGCAATTTTTATGTGCAGGTTAGGGCAATCCCATGCTGAAAGCGCAAGATGCTTAATTTTATTTTTACTTTAGCCATTGGCTATGTGACCCAACTTGACTCAGTTTTAGTTTAAGCATCCACAAATTACTATATATATATATAAACATGTTGCTCATGAGCAAAAGGTTGAAACCCTACACCTACGTAGGCTTGGTTACTAATGTTTTTCACCTGATCAAATACTTCTTTACATGACTCAAGTGAAGAAGCACTGCAACCATCTGGCCTACTACAGGCCTAATACGTAGGGTGACCAGACATCCCAGTTTAAACTTTCCTTTGTATTCTGGTGTTCCAGCTTTTCCACATTACAAGGGCTACCATTTGGGCATTTTCTTGAAAATGAAAATTATTGAAAATGTCCCGCTTTTTCTTTGAAAAAAAAAAAATAAAAACCTGGTCACCCTAACATGCCACTGACACGGTATGGTTAGGCACAGAGAAGCTATTAGGAGCCTAGGCCTATATCTAGCATCCACAGCAGCTCTGATAGAGAAAGAGAGAGAGATGGTCTAAGTGAAGCTAGATAAAAATCATTAGATCTAGGCCTACTTGAATTATTTATGTGGCGTGCCCTTCCGTCCTTTGCTGACGTTCACTTTAATGGTGCACCTAGTCTCACAGGAGATGCAGGAATTGTTCGTCTCGCAACCAATCACATCTCCGAGCAGACGACCGTGCGGACGACACGCTCCACTCCCCTGTCGGTTGCCGGCGTGTTATGCTTGTACTTCCAGACATATTGCACTTTTATCCAATCGTTGAGGTTTCCAGTGATCATGACATCGCACGGAAGGATAACGACCTTCACAATGAAGCACCAGGAAAGCACCAAAAAATGTAGTTTCTTTCTAGGGTTGCAGGACGATTCGCATAATGGGGCGTTCAATTGAAGCATTTCATATGCAATCTCATCGCTTCCCTTCGCTTTTCGTCATCCTGGTGGAAGCAACTCATAAAGAAGCCTTCTTTCAACGCTGAACGAATGAAAACGCCCAGCACAGAGGAAGAGGGACCTTCAGCTCGCACACCTCATCTGTCTCCCTCTTTTTCCAAATTTGCCCAATGGTAGTACGAGTCTTGGACAAGACGAGGATCTTTGCTCACAGGGTAATAGGAAAACCTCTTCGGTTCCCATCTGCCAAGACTGAACTTTTAGCTATAGGGATTCATATATATTTCATATACAGGGTGGCGCACGAAAAACCGGCCCGCCTCGTAGGCCATCGTGGGCGTAGGTCTCGGACTCCGTACAGGAAATTAAACACATGCAAATGCATTTGTTTAATCGACTGACACAGACTTTGGAATAATCTACAGGGTGGCGCACGAAAAACCGGCCCGCCTCGTAGGCCATCGTGGGCGTAGGTCTCGGACTCCGTACAGGAAATTAAACAAATACAAATGCAAATCCTCACGGCTTTCGACTGACACAGACTTTGGAATAGCCAGCCAGACACCGTCGCAACAAGGAGGAGTCGGTCGTGACGGAATTTGTCTGTGTACACGCTCGTGGTAGGCGGTCGGAGACGGGCCGGTTTTTCGTGCGCCACCCTGTATAAAAGAAAGTGGTAGGGGAAGTTCAAGAATTGGATTATTCACGACCGCAACCACGCGTGCCCTTCAATTGTCACTTTAGTCCCTTGGGAATGCCTCGGTTTTTCGGCAAAACCGCGCAAAATCTGTTTTTGGAAAAGGCTTGCAGAATCTCGACAGAAAAGGTTCACCACGTTCGTCTCTCTCAGGAAGCAGTTGGATGTAAACCCACCGAGTAGGTACCATTCTTCCTCCTTTCTTGATCTATTCTCCTGTAACATTTTTGCATGAGGAGAATTCTTTGATTGAAATACTCCTTGTTATTTGATTAATAGAAAGAATAAATATATGCCGCACAGGGCCGGATTAAGGGGGGAGCAAAGGGGGCTGTTGCCTCGGGCTCCACTCTTCCAAGGGGCGGGGGGGGGGGTGCCGAAGAAAATTAAAAACGGTAAGTATTAATATTTGGGTAAAGTAGGGGAGGTTAGCTCCAAGAATCCACTTGCCCCGGGCCTCGCAACTTCTTAAGCTTGTCTTTTAATCCGGCACATTAATAATGAAGCGCGATATGGACAGAGGGGGAGTCTCTGCACGTCTGAAAATATGAGAGTAACGTTAGTTCTGTAAGTTCCTGAGAATTCAGTCTTCTTATCATGCAGGAAATCGACTCGGTTCTCGCCGACTGGCAGTCTGCGCTCCTCGGTGTTATCTCAGTGTACCCGATAAACCAGTTCAGAAACCTTCTCTTTTATTCGACAACCGATGTCGCCGACCAGCTCCAAACCCCCAGGCATAAATAATCGCGCCGGTCATCACAGGACGACGATGGAATGCGACGGAAGGCGGGAGAAGATCTTAGTGGCCGTGGAACGCCGCAGGGACCCAGCCCATCGCCTCCGCAGGTGCCTCGCCACCTCGTCCAGCAGCTTGCAGGGCTCTTGGCGCGGGTTCGGGGTCGCGTGGGCGTGGAGGAGGACCACGCTCTCCTTCGCGGCCCCCGCCGCTCGGTCCACGTGGGGGAGGAGGGCGAGGGCGGCCTCGTCCGTCAGGTCGCTCAGGTCGGACACGATCAGGACGTGTTTCGTCATCGTCTGCTTTGTCATGGCGTAGTTCAGCCAGACGAGCTGGAAGTCTGGGTTCTCGTTCGTCACCTGCGGGCAGCCGATTCGCATTCGGTCCGTCAAGCCGACTTCTTCGTTGAAAAGCGCACTCTCGTCCTACCTGGAAATGCTTTCTTTCCTTTTTTTTTTAAATGAAATTCGCGGATGTGAACTTAAACTTATGGAATACCTGAATTTGTTGCAAAATAAATATTAGTCAGAACCATCTTGAGTTTTGTCGATAAGGAATTCAGGGAGCACGAATCGTTCGAGGAAGAAATGATGGAAAGAACAGCGAACTAATGGTCTCCCCAAACCAAGACCTGCAGATATATAACACGAGAAATATAGAGCGCAGACAAGAAAAAAAAGGAAACCCCTTAATTGATGTATAATGTGAAAGTGTAGATTCGCTTTTTCACATCAAACACCAGTTCGAGAGCTGTCATTTAATATTGTCTAAGTTCAAGAAGCAATCCTGCAAGTTACTCTTCAATTCCAGCCCGGAAGAAAGTTCAAGGACAGCAAGATCAAGAAAGGAGCTGATTTCTTTTCGTTGCCATTCCTACTTTTTACTTCCTCCTCGTTACTCGCACGCTTTGAACATTCGAACGATATTGGCTTCATAACGGTCCTGGGGAATTTTTGCTACCGGAAGTATTAGTGGACGAAAGAGGCCTCATTCAGAAAAGATGAGAGGAACCCGAGGAAGTCGACGCGATACCTTGACGGCGACGTAGTCGTCACCGAAGATGCGGCTGGTGAAGTCGGCAACGCGGATCATGATCTGCTGCGTCCTCTCCAGGGATTCCGGCGTGGAGACGAACAAGAGAACGGCAGGACCGTTCGGTCCGTCGAGGACCGACTTCAAGGCGGCGTGGATCCGGTTCCAGGTCCGCTTGGGGACTTGGGGATGCCCCTGCTCCAGGGCCCAGAGGTTCCAGGCGAGGTCGGAGACCCGAGAGCGGAAGAAGAAAGACGAGGAAGGGGGATCGGGGAGGCCGTCGGTCTCGAGCGGGACGCGGCTGTGGTGAGTCCGGTTCGCCTCTTCGCTCTCGGGTCCCGACGGGGAGACGAGAGAAAAGAAGCCGGAGACGTACGAGGCCAACGTGGATTTCTCGACTTTCGCGTCGGGGGACTCCGCGTTCGCGCGGACGATCGTGGATCGAACGTCGGCAGGGACGCTTCGCACGTAAGCCCCGACCCTCCGAATCCGATCCATCTCTCGAACGCTCACCGCCACCCTGCAGATCCCCCTCGTCAAGAGCAAAGCCACCACGAGCACGACCACCGTCCAGAACACGATCTGGACATTCCGCCAGTCCTTTCTCAGAATCCCTCGTCCCGACCTCGACACGACCCACGGCCCTTCCTCCCTCGCACCGAGCCTCTTCGTCCTCTTCCCCTCGGAATCCGCAACGACCAGCTCCGCTTCCCCGCTTTCCCTCAGTTTCACCTCCAGGTCGACCTCGTCCACGACCCCCGGGTCGTCGCGGCAATATTTCTTCACCTTCATGAGATCCCGGAGAGACAGCAGAACCCAGTCGTTGGAGATCCCCGGCCTCGCCATCCACGAATAAGCCCTCCGACCCCGCTCGTCCTCGACCTCGTACGTGATCTTGGCCTGACCCCGCACGTAGAATTCCACGTCGCCGTAGCAGTAGGCGCCGTCTTTCCAGACCGGCTTGTTTTGTTGGGCGGTCAGCTTGTTGCATGCCTTGAGGGGAAAAAGCGTTCCACGCATTAGGATCCCGCTATGCATTTCTGACTATCTGTTTTGCCGACGATAATTAAATGAAACGAATGAAGTGCGCAGAATAAGAAGGTATTTGATGAATGGCTAAGTATTCATCGAGATCATTTTCTGAGATGTTTTAAACAGGGCCGCCCAGAGGGGGGGGGGGGGGGGGGGGGGGGGGGGGGGGGGGGGCAAAGGGGTCAGTTGCCCCGGGCCCCACTCNGGGCCGCCCAGAGGGGGGGGGGGGGGGGGGGGGGGGGGGGGGGGGGGGCAAAGGGGTCAATCTGCCCCGGGCTCCGTGCATCAAGGGGTCCCAAGGGGGGCCTCCAAAGGGCCTTAAGGGACCCTCAAGGGGTCTCCAGTTTAGTTTTGCCCCGGATCCCTGGAAACTTCTGGGCGGTCCTGGTTTTCAGACATAAACAAACTTCGTGACGAGACTTTGGAACAGGATACGACACGCGTCCTCTCCAGTTTGGCATCGACTCTCTTATTGCCTTTCTCACGACTGGCAAACGTTCGAGAGTCTCCTCGAAAGAATCATCAGTACTGGAACGTACCATCCGTGACGGCACCGACAGACGGGCGAGAAACGGATGAGACTCGACCTGGCAACCCCACCTGAAGGATCCTGTGCATCTCGTCGAGCCTCGGCGGAGCTTCCCAGAGCCAAGCGAAGACCCGCGAATTCCCGACCTCCTCCGCATACCTCCCGACCTCCCTCCGCGCCTCCCTCCGCGCCTCCCTCCGCGCCTCCCCCCTCGCCCCCCCGCACCTCCCACCGAAGCGGCACGCAACGGACCAGAACGCATACCGGACGCACGCGACCGAAAGATTCCACGCGACCCGAGGGAACGGGACGAAACGCGACATCCTCCCACCGCCTCTGAGAAGCCGAGAAAACTTAGGGATTCTCGCTCTGTTGGCCGGCGAGCGGGATCTCGTCTCCTCAGATCCGCTAACGAGTTCGATCGCATGAGCGAAACTTTCTCTCAGACGCCTTCTATTCTGGCTGCCCCCCCCCCCCCCCCCCCCCCCCCCCCCCCCCCCCCCCCCCCCCCCCCCCCACCTTAGTTAGTTCTTAGTTCTTAGGACGATTGGTACTGGATTCGCGCAAACTTCCTACCGATGAGTTTCTAGGCACCGTAGAAAAGTTGTGCAATTTGAAATGATCCGGGTGCAGTCGATACATGTTCGATACACGCAGGAATTCTGCTTTCAGTCCGCCGTCTATCACTTATCCTATTATTTATTTATATATCTAAATGATGACATCGACGGCAACGACGGCAGGCGCCCAGCGGCCGAAGAAAATACCTTTAGGACACCGATACCATTCGTCGAATCGGCAGTCGAAAGTCGTCAGGTCAAAAAAAAATCCACGTTGCAAATGAACGACTCAACTATTTCGCATCGTACTCGCAGCCGATTCAGCGGAAACGAAATCGGTCGCCCACGGCAAGCCAATCATGCGCCGAAAACATCAAGAAAATAAGAAAATTCCAAAGTACTCAAGAAGTGCTCAAGAAGTACTCGAGTACTGAACCGTCCTCTCGAGCAAGTCGGAATGCGACGAAAAGGCGGGATGAAGGTGCTTCCGTGAAGTTCCTTAATCCAGTAATCCCCCCGGCTAATCCGACGAGTGAAAACGGGTGGAGGCGCGTTCCAATTTCTCCCCTGGGAAATTTCTTTCTGCTAAGAAGAAAAAAAAAAAAAACGAGATAAATTGTAGCTGAGTTTCAAATTGAGTCCCGATTATTTTACTCGAAGACGTTTTCAATTTTACTTAATTTATTTTTCTCCGTGGCACAGAAAAAAAAAAGAGAGCAGGATTTATGGCATTTCGCGAGCGATGAAATTGCCCATGTTGAGAAATTCATCCGCAGAGAAAATGTTGGAGCAAGCCTCCAAGTTTTTCCTCATTCGGTCGGAAAATTTCCTCCCAAAAAAGGCAGACGTCGTCGAGATCGGACGAGTTCGACTCTCGTGCGGCCGAGGCCAGAATTCAATTATTTCATAAAATGATGACATGGAATAATGATAATGAAATTATAAAATGAACATTTTTTTGGTTCTATCCAACATGTACGAACTTTGACGAGCGATCTCTCACTGTCACTGATGAATACGTTCTACACTCAAAATGCCCAATCGAAAAAAAAAAATTCCATCGATAAAGGGGACACGAATGCTATTTGACATCGAGAGCGTCGGAAAGAGAAAACCCATCGGAGTTGAAAAATCATTCTCAAGACGATGGACCGAGATGAAATCGTTTAAATCTGGGAGGAAGAAAAAAGCGAAATTAGGCGGAATGGGGGAGAGAAATCCGTAATTCTGCGAGGAATTAAGCACGCCGTGCGTCTGCCGCCATCCCCCGAGGTCACACCACCTCCCATCGTCGTCTCGTCAGCCTCCACATCCACAGGCTTAAAAAAAACAAAAAACCGCCAGAGCTGTTTGTTGGAAGATCTTCGCACCACCTAGAGACTCTTGGCCTGACAGCACCACCTGGTGGCTGGCCGCGGAACAACTCGACCTTCTGACCTCTCCTCCCCTGTCCTCTTACGGCAAGCCGCTTGCTCCTGGCGTCACCTGGACCGACTCCACGATTTCTCTACACTTCCATGTATGTACTACCTCACCTCACTCGACCCTTTTGTAAGGGGGACGCCATCTAAATAAAGGTCATCGAAGGTGAAAATGTTGGAGTTTCGCTTTCTCTTGCTCCTGGGGTCGCAGTCCCAGGCTCGGCGAGGGCATCGTGCCTCTCGATGTCAGCCTTCTGTCGTACCGACTGCTTTCGTGATGATGACTTTCTATCGGAGGGTACCTTCCAGGTACTTGGTCCCATTCCGATTAGATTAGAATCAACTTCGAGGCGGTTCTTCGTACACGAGGTAGATGTTAATTCAACCACAGAGTCCGCGTTCTGAACTAGTTGAATTCTCTGTTCCACGGATTGTATTACTAGCTCGCCTGGCCTGCTCGATGGCCTTCCCAATCGAGCATCTGTTTCTACGTAAAAGGCTCCTCGACCGGTTTCCTTACCTACTCAGCCCCTGCCCCCTACTTACCAGGCACCTTCATCCAGTACTTATCCAGTACTGGGTTTCTCTCGGCGAATCCCCCGGCTCCGTCGTCCGAGGCGCCGCGTTCGCCTTCTCGGGCTGGAGACGCTGCAGGCGTGATTCCTTCGCAACCGGTCGGTGTGCGTCGCATCACGGCTAAGGAGTCACTTCTCCGATGCATTTTACCGTCTTCTCGTGCCGTGTTTACCCCTCGTCAGGAATCCTCACAAAAAATCCTAGTTCCTTTATACCGTTGGCGGTCGAGACGGCGGGGACGCGAAGGGCCACGAGGAGTCCCAACACGGTAAATTCGCCAAGGGGAAGTACTACGTCCTTCGACCCGATGGTAAGTGATGATCATCGACATCTAAGTGATGATCATCGCCATCAACATCACCGAAATGCCTTGCCTTGGTCGTGCTTCTTTTAGAATTGCTCGCATATCTTCATTCAGGCGAAGCAAGGACGGTGAAATGTGAGACGGATGATCGGGGCTTCGAGGCGGATCGCTCCTACACCTCAATACAACTATTTTTTTTATTACTATGGGTCAAACATTTGTCATTCGTCCTCGTCTGGTGCTGATTCTATTTCTACCGTGTGTCTGTGTTCTATGTTGCATGTCTCGCGTCTACGATTCGTTCAGAGCTTTCCACTTTCCCTTCTTCGTTTTCCCTACGCATCGTCAAAGATAATGCGATAAATCGAAAGAAACATCGAAAAATCGAAAGAAAAATCGAAAGGATTTTAGTAATGAGCCTGCTTATACGGGAATGCCGAACCCTAGGTCCAACCGAGAGCAGGACACTTACTGTCGAATACCTATCATAAATGGAACCGATTGCATCTGAGGAGCACCGAAGCGACGAATTTCTTTCGAGGATTTTCAGCACTTGTGGAATGACTAATGCCATTTGGTTTTCCTGGTTTTACTCGCATGACCTGTCGAATGACTGTCGGGCGGGCTCCGGAATACACGTTCCGACGATTTCTTCGCTGAAGACATCTGCTGTAGGTCGAGCGAAGTTCTGAAGTGAAGAATGGATTTCTCTTATTATCTTTCGTGTTTCTTCCGACCAGGTTACTTTGGCTGGGATTTCCCCGCTCGATCCGAGATAGAACTTCTCGGATTCCACGTAGGATTTATGGTTCTTTTCCTTGTCGACTTTTAACATTTCAGCTCCTGAATGCCGAATTGCATCTGAAGGGGAGATCTTTCGGGTTCCGTGAATACCGACGGATGATTCATCTCGGTGGCAAATGTCAGGGTTTCTTCCGCATCGAGGGCGATGTGGATTCTCGGATCGCTGAAGCGAGACGGTTGCTTGAATAGCGAACGATGAAATGCGAGATGAATTAAAACTGCTTAATCGACGACCTGCAAAGGCGTGTATGAGTTTCAGTTTCCTAGAAAGGGCCGGTCGTTTCCAGGAGAGGGCGAAGAAAAAAGAAATAAACGATTCGTATATCGATGCATATGTATCGCCGCGGGAATCTTAACACCTCTCCATCTACAGGAAGCAGGACAAAACGCCTGGAATCGCGTCGCTCAAGGACGGCCCCCACACCCCGTGCGATCGCGTGTGACCCCGAGGCCCCAAAAGTGGGGCTCTCGACCCGTATCGACGCGATCTCGAAAACGGGGGAAAAGCCCAGGACCCATTTGGATTCGAATTGAGAGCGAGGGAGGTCAGGCGGCGTAGAAAGTGGGGTGCTTCCCGTCGCGTTGGGATTTCTTCCTGCAGGTAGTCGTTTGGTTGAATCGGAAGAAAGGAGGTTCACGTGCAGTTGACATTCAGACGCCGTCTGGATAGGTGCTTCGATTTTCCACGTGCGCATTTACAAAAGCCCTTTATGCGTCTTCCTGCTGCTCTATTTCTCCAGTGAACTACAGAGATGTTGCACAACTACTGGTAACCTTGGCTGCTTTTTAGGCTTTTTTTAAATTTGGTTCTGAAGTTGCTGCTCCTTCAACCTTTTTGTGCTCATACTTTTTTTCCCTATTTTTTTTCCGTTCACTTTATATCTGACGATGTCGAACAAGATTGAATTTGCTTCACTTGATTTTAATTATCGGTAAAAATGCGCGTTTCTGTTTTTAATTCTGGAACGGGGTAGTTGGGTGCCTCACACACTAGGTCGAGTCTTTCGATGACTCTAGTGCTTTTCATTTGAGGGCCCTCGGGTGTGACGAACCGCATCGAATAAATTTCAAAATTTTTACCACGCAGGTCCAAGTTTAAGTAGGAAATGCTCCTCGACCGAAAACCGAGAGCATTTTGTACTCGTACCACTACGTTAAATAGGACAGGAAATAATTTGAAAATGTTCCATTAGCAATCACGTCATCCCCTTTCAAGGTGATCCTAAGGCATACTTGCGATCGAGCTAACCCGCAAGGCCTCACCCACCACGCAGGGACCCTCGAGGTGAAGGATATCTAGATAGCATGGGCAATTTCACCAGTTCACCTTCACCAAGGGGAACGGACTCACGTGTCTCTTGTTTACAGAGCCCAGACGGAGAAACCCAGACCGAGTACGAGGCAAGTGCAGACGAAAGCTACTTCGGTCTGGGAACCATCGCAATAGCTTCAGCCGTGTTCCCCCACTCCTCCATCTCCTTCCTTTCCCCGTTCCCTCCAGCACTTACCGCCATCCCGTTCAACGATTGCATTCCTCTCGCAGAAGGATTCTATCTCGGATTCAGGGTGCCCGTTCATTCTCTATGTTCTCTGGCTCTGTAGTCACGGAACGGGATGAAATTAGAAGTGACATTTGGATACGAACACCAGGCTAAGAGAGGGGAAATTGGAGAGGCCGGGAAAGTGGATTTTTAGCTGCTTTTGTTCATCGGCTTGCTCTTTTATTCTCCGTATCATTATTCCCCGTCAATCGAATTCTCTGAGGAGAGTAGTAAAAAATTACAGAACGGCATGAGATTGATATCACGTTGATAAGGTATATTTCCCGTAGTAATGATAATCTAGCAGTTGTGTTATTCTCCGAAAAGGAAAAGGCTTTTATTAAATTATATATTTTATTTGATTAAACTATTATTACGCCTCAATTATTTTCTGTTTGAAAGACGTACAGTTAGCAGCTACTTGTAACAATTCATTGACGCTGTCTAATTCCTTGCATATAGGAGAGAATTGGCAGTTTGGTAGAGAAAAGATGCTAGTAATTTTTGCACCTAAGGTTATCGATAAGGATTCACAGTGTACTGATAAGATTCCTCGAATCGCTGAAGGTCGTCAGATGGAGCCCTGAAATTCACACTGATTATATCTGTTTAGGCAAATTTATTCTTCGCTTTTTTTTACTTCATGAAAATTCATGAATTTAATTATGGAAAATAACTTCGATCATTCTTTTTTCATAGTGCGCTTTAAGACTGCGTGAAATAGGGGAATGTGAATTCTTTCCCCTATGTGAATTCTTGATAGATTATGTACAAAACTTACTTCCGAAAAATATTCCAACTCATGCTAAAAGTTCGCATTTCACAATAACAAAAAGGTAAGAAAGTAGTCGGATCTCTCAACTGTGAGGCAATACTTGTAGTTCCCCATTAAGCCCGGCTCACGCGTCCGATGCTCTGAGGGAGATTCCAATTTTATTTAGACCTCGAAAGCAGGTTGGAATCAGATACGGGTATCCCAGATCCTCATGGAAGAACACCCGTGAATAAATTCACCTGATTGTAGTTCAGGTGAATAGACAGTGTCTTGTCAGGTGCCTGTCGAGGTGCTCGGGTGAAGCGCCTTAATCTGGTGCCTTGTAAATCGCTCCGCTAATGCGAAGAGTGAAAGTGGGTGGCGGCGTCTTCAGTAGCCTTGGAGCTGGATGACATTTACCTGGGGATTTTCCGTTACACCCTCATCTTTCTGAATTCGAAATAAAAACCGCAGGAAGGAGAGGACATTTCATCGGTTGTGTCCTTCTACGAAGCGTCTTTCCCAGTCTTTGACCTATTCACTCGCCATGCATTCTTCCCTGGTGAGTATTTATTCGAGGGATTTATCTCTCCTGTTTAGTCCAAAGTAATCCTGTATTTGCATGTGTTTTCAGTCGTTCACGACACAGAATCTGAATGATATTCCAGACCGCAGCCGTCCTGTTGTCCGTGATCTGCCAGGCCCTCGGAGACCCTCACGCCCCCCATCACCATTCTTACCCCCAACGAATGACATACACTAACTCCACTCATCCCACCGAAGTCCATGATGACCCCCACAAAACGTCATCTCACGGGTTCCGAATTCCTACTTATGAATCCCAAATTATATTTGAGAGATTCGCTTACGGCAACACCTTCATTGCCTCTATGGAAGCCAGTTTCGGCGATCAAGTTCTAGATTTCTACCATCCGGAGTACCACATCCAGCGATACCGTCCGTACTCCCTTCTCTAGTCGAAATGTGAGCGCCCTTCGCTTCTTCATATTGCCTTTCTCTGATTTCGGCCAGTGCTTCCTCCTGACCGTATAAAACCTAAGCGCTTGTCCTCTTTTCTATTCAGGTCAGGCGAATGCGATTCAGAGTGCTTTGAGTGAAGGACATCGAGAGAAGCAGGACTTCCACAGTGGTGCCTGAATGAAAGAGCACTAGAAGATTGCCCGCTTTTTGGATTCTTTTGACGTAGTTTCATCACATTTATTCGAGCTCGGATGCATCTCATACATTTTTCCTTGTGACATGGACAACCTTTTTCTCATAAAATAAACTTCATACAAGACAACTGCCTAGTTCATTGATGTGCTTCGTAAGTGCATAATAATAATAATAATAATAAAACACTTTTCGAGATTTTTTAAATTCAAAGGCAGCTATTTCGCGGGATATACATTCGCCCACATGCCAGTTATTTACATTTTGCCCACGCTCCTGTTTGCCACTGCGCCCCTAAAGAAACGCAAGACTTCGAGTTAGGATTCCATCGACAAAACATCGATGCGAAAAAACAGGCAACGTCGAAACAATAACAATTTTTTTTGTTTACTGTATTAGATGACTGTCATGCATATTATCCAACTTCTACTCTCCCTGACAAGGCTGTTTCATATTAATGGAATGCTCAGGGAATTAAGGCAGTGTCACAATAAGGTGAGCGGGAAGAAATGTGGCTTCTCCCCACGGAGGACCAGGCCCATTCGTCTTTATGAAGTCTACCTCCATTCAAGGGAATCGCGATAATCGGCAAGCCAAAACCATAAGGTGGTCGGAAGACCTCCACGAAGTCAACAAAACATATTCGAGCAGGACGAATCGATTCGAAAGTGATCGAATAAGACCGCGAGCCGTGAAGCGAAGAGAAGGCTATTTAAAAGAAGACGACTTCGCAAGAAATTTTCAAGGTAAAAAAAAACTCAATTAAAAAAAATTCACTTGATGATTGATCAGCTGCTTACCAGACCGTGGGAAAATGCCAACGTGTTTTGGCCGATCAGCCCAAACTTATACGCTTAAACTTATGAGCTTTTCCCCCAGCCAATATAACTTGCAGTAGTGAATAGCTGTGATAGCAATCTGTGATGTGTGTAGCAATACAATGGCGTGGGCGTTACTGCTGTTTTTTTCAGGTATTCTCGGGATCTGAACTGCTACCTCTGAAGAACTCTGCCGATGTTTCGTCACGTCGACACACTGTCGTGTCGATGTTTTTTCATGGAACCGCAAGTTTGAAGAAAGCCGTGATAGCAAACTTAGACAGAGCCAGATTTGAGGAGGGGTGGGGGGGGGGGGGGGGACAAACTAACAAATTCTGAGTCTCTCGATTTGAAAATTTTTAATTTGAATAGGTTGAGGTTAGGACTCCAAAGCCACAACTCGCAGTGCTACAGTATAAAAATCTGATGAAGCCTGCCGATAATTCATTCGGTAAACTGGTAATACTCAATGGGGAAATGGCTTTACTTTTCCAGTCCAGTCTCGTCTTGCCATCCCAGTGGCAAACATAAATGTATTAAATTATTGCAGGGTTCAGAGTTGATCGAGGGAGACGTCTAATTCAGTTCCTTCTGTCGTCACTTCCTTGCAATCATCTGACAAGGAGAAATGAAATTTGATAGGATTGTTGAGTGCGCAATGTCATATATTTCCCATGAACTTTCCTCATTGTGACCGCAGACTTTCCATGGATCAAGACTGGAACCTTCACGTCGGGTCGTGCGCTCCGTTGGTCAAACCATCGATACTGACTTTTTTGGCTGGAGCGTCAGTCAATGGCTTCGAGGGACCTGTATCCATCATAACAGGAAAAAAAACCGCGTAAATCAGATTAGCACGTGCCTGTACCAGGAGCGTAGCCAGGATAATTTTTTCTAGGGAGTGGGAGAAGTTGGCCTGCGAATCATTATTGAGCTGTTGTGCATTTTTGGACTCAGCGAACCTGTCATTTTAACATTATGGAGGATGAGGACCTTTGCGTTGCTATTGTACTGCTCCTGCCGAATATTCTATCTGGTTATGTCCTTCCAGGCTACGCCACTGGCTTATGCCGTGAAGATGTGGCAGCATATGCGACCTTGGAATAGGAAGACCTTCTCGAGTCCCAGCACCGGGGATTCAGCGACAAGAGCCAGAATGAAGGCGACCCCGTGACTCAAGACGAGCGTAGAGAAGAGGTCTATCACCTGCAGGAGATAAAAAAAAAACAACTGTTGAGTTCGATATTCTCGCAGCATTTCGAAGAGTGTTCGGAATAAATAATATATATATATATATATATATATATATATATAACACTCTTCGAAATGCTGCGAGAATATCGAACTCAACAGTTGTTTTTTTTTTATCTCCTGCAGGTGATAGACCTCTTCTCTACGCTCGTCTTGAGTCACGGGGTCGCCTTCATTCTGGCTCTTGTCGCCTCCAGAGGAACCAAGTGATAACGTAGAAATGAGTGAGGTAAACGGAATAGGTGAGTCGTCCGAGAGGGATGAACGCCTTCCAGCTCAAAATTGCGTCGACGGGACCTATAGAGGGACAAAACAAACTCTCCCTCAATTCTGATGAGAATAAAAACATGGGATACGAGAGCAAAATTGACCTCCGCTGCCGGCGGCGCATGCGAGGATGACCCAAGCGACGCCGCAGGCCCAGGCTATCCGAAAGAGGGCGTTGTAGGCGAGCTGAGGGATCCGGGGCATGGGACCAGAATCCAGGGCCATGTAGTCGCTGATACCGTAGAGCACGGCGAGGTTACACGCTGTCGCCATCGCCCATCCCCACACCGCTGCCCCCTTATCGAGAAACCCAATGTGCTCTCAGAAAAACATGATACATCGTGTTTCCTTGATGAATATCGCATTGGATACCTTGGGGAACCTGAATCTCGTCTTCTTCATCTTATAGAGAAGGAATCCAGTGAGGATTCCTACCAGATATGGACCCAGTCTTATCCAGGGCTTCACATAGTACAAATTGAAGTTATCCGAGTTCCCGAGAGGGCTAAAGATAACGAACGAGAGTCGCAACCAATGAATAGCTCGTAGCTCGTATGATTAAGATCTCATACAATGCATGGCAAAAAAAAAAACAGACTCCCAAGTTTGAACCCATGTATCCCTCTCTGCCTTTGTAGGAAATTTTGCCAAACTTGGACTGTGCATGGGGTGATACGTTCTCGGCAGGATAATAAATTTTAATCCACAATCATGAAAAAAAAATTGAGAAATTGCAAACATACATGTTTGGAGACGAGTAGAAGAAATGCCTTCTCGCTCAGGATGCAATGAGCCCACATCTTTCCCATATATACAAATGTATTTCAACTGGATTTGTCTTGAACACAGCTTGCATTTGTTTGATTCGGTGAGCGACTGAAGGACTAGTAAGCATGAATCTGCTGGGGCTGGAGCCGCTTCCCCCCCTGTCTCCCATCTATTTCAGTTATAGGTTTAAAAAATATTGTATAGAAAAATGATTTCGGATGAAGTAGCTAACATCCATTGAGAAGAGCCATCCATCGTAATCACGATGGTGATTACGATGGAAACGGATCGGCAAGCGGGAAGGTAGATGGTCTCAAAATTGGGGTTCCCATTCCGCCATACCTTGCAGATCTACTTCTACTATCTTACTTGGCAATCACGTATCCATATTCCGTTCCGAAGAGATCGTAACGTTTCAGCACCAGCACCGTGGCAAGGGCATTCAGTGCAAGCGAGACGACCAGCACTACCACGCCTAAACAGAATTTTCACCATGTAACATACCTGTGATTATATAACTGTGTTCTTATGACTGTTTATATAACATCGTTGAGGGCTCAACAAGTCAGGGAGATTCGAAACGCTCTCCAAGATAATAAAAACAAAACACTTGTAAGACTGCCTCGTCGAGTACGGGAAGCCGTGGCGTCGAATTTCACTACTTGGACTTTCCAGGGCATGCAACGATGTAGATATGACGGTGAAACTATGTAAGGTGAGATGGGGTAATAGCAACCCTTTCTAAGCGATGAACAAGAGATCTCATTGATTTTCAAACATCTAAGAATGGTTTGGAGGAAAAAGGAGAAAAATGGGGAGGAAGCTCTACCACATCCAACACACTTGCCTTCCTCCTTTTTATTTTTACTTTTTCTTTTTTACCCTCCCCCCATTATTTCCTTCTTCAAAAATCATCTCAGAACTCAGCAATCCTGTTTGCTTAGATTAAATACCCAAAGGACTGAAGCTATTCAGAGCAATTAAAAGAACGTTAACTTTGATCCACAGATCCTAGCGTAGACAGAGATTTTGACTCTCGAGAGATATCAACAGAAATTACAGATAATTTCAGTCTTAGATTAAGGCTTGACGAAGATCATGTTTTTGAGAACGCTCTTGATTTGACTTCGACGAAAGTCCAAGAAAACAAAAAGGAAAATTAGGTCATAGATCACAGATCGCCTTCCATTTCTCCCCCTGAAACTATTTTTAGTTGGGTCATTGACCGCACATGAAACATTACTGATAACACTAACGGCATCTGAATCTTCTGCAAATAGCTCAGGGGCTAGTGCCTCGTCTTCAGGGGGAGTAAGAGGCTTTTTTCGCTACATCTTCTTCGGTCCTTTTTTCTAGTTTTCACGCTGCTTTTACCCTCTTCTCACTATGCTTTTCTTTGTGGACTCATCCCATGCATACAAAATATGGCTGCGCATAAAACTTTTTCAATATATTCTACATTTAGCAAAATTTCAAAAAATTATAAGTGGCAAATAATCGATGTTACTTTCCTCCCATAAGAAGAAGTTACAATTATCCTATGACCCAATTTTCGATGGGCCAATAATAAAATTGCATTCAAAAGATGATGTGAAAGGACCTGGGTCTCATTTTGCGAAAAAAAATAAATTGATATATAAATCAAGCATCAAACTTGAACTTCTTTTTATTTAGCATCTTTAATTTAAATGAAAACTGAAGTTGCTTCACACGAGTAAAAATTTAGATTCCAATTTTTTTCTTACCAGTGAACATGTAATTGAAGTAAATATATTTCTAGTTATATATGGGGAAGTTCAAAATATCTAATATCAAAGTATGAAGTAAGAATGAAAATTGGCATGCTATATACACAAATTGAGAAAACTATCTCGTATAGTTATTTAATGAACAAACTCCCCCCTCCCCCCCGGCCTCCTCAGATTTCATATTACAGTGTCTTCTGTCACCAGGCTTCTCGCTGGGAAGATTCAGAATCTCCCCTCATCACACGCAAGCAGCTCGTTTAACTTATGACAATGTAAGAGAAGGGAAGATGCAAGGTCAGTCCACCGGTGATTGGCCAGAAGTAGAGCGGCACGATGAAAAGAGGAGAAACGATGTACATCTGCATGTCGTTAGCCAGGTACCACGTCGGCAAGGAGCACTGTTAAGAGAGAGAAATTACTCCTTCATTGATCTCGGGCAAAATTGCCTGTTTAAAGATCTCGGGCGCAAGGCAATCTTGATGGATCGAAACATACCAGTTCCTCCTGTTTGAAGAAATTATTGACGTAGAGAACATTCCTCCACCAGTAATCTTTGCAAGGGTCTGTCAAAAATCGGATGAAGAGATAGAAAGGCCCGGACGCGAATCGGTCGATGAAGGCAGTCGTGAATCCAATCCACAGGGCCAAGGCCGGCGTCAACCTGGAATCAGGCAGGATCAGGGATTCAGCACCAATGACGTTCCGTGGCGTGGAATGCTGTGATACTGTCAATGGAAATCGTGCCGCAAACATTTCTTCGATAGTCTCGTTTGGGAAATGTACAGAACCACACGGGTGCCACTTTTCAACCTATTGTGGAAGTGCTTCATGAAATTTCTGACCCTGAACTGGACGCAATGCAGGCATTAACAAGCATTGCTACTTAGAAACTCGACTCGGAATCTGGCCCAGTTTTTTTTATTACATTTTTGCGAATAATTTAGTAGATAAGAGGCATGGACAAGAGCACTCAGACTTCTTAAACAAGAATTCATGCAGAAAAAACATTGAAGTCTTTGAGGGCTTTGAGTTTTAAAAAGGCACACCGGACTCTGAGGCATTTCAGAAGTATGACAGCATATTTCAGGCTGTCAACAACTTTTCACAGATTAGAGCATGGCAATTAACTATTCTGCTATGCATAAATCTTGAGGGTTCTTCCTCCGGATCCTGAGAAATTCGGAAAGTGTTCCCATTATTCCACACGGGACAAAACAGAGAAAAAAGCGAGTGGGATCACTTCCACAAAAAGCAACGAACCTAGACTTCGAGGATTTGGAATCGCCTGAGAATACATGAGGAATCCACAAGTATGCTAAACCATCCCTGAGAAGTAATCTGACCTTGATCTCACTTTTTCCTCGTGTGACAGTCATGAGATGAATTTGCTGCAATTCCTAGAATTCGCGGGTGTCGAATATTTTTCCTCTACCGTATGAAGCACTATCAGGCTTACATCATAAATACTTATACGTTAGTTGTAACGTTACAGGGAGTTGTATGGATGAGACCTGAGATATCGATGGAGATAGAATCGGAGGATGTTGAATCTCCCTTTGTTCCTTTCCAGTTCTTTGAGGAGGAGGTAGGTGACGAGGAGGCCACTGAGGAGGAGGAAAGTGTCCACCGACACCGTCCCGTTCGTGATCGTCGTCAGCTTCCAGTCCTTCGATACCTGCGAGCATTCCGATAGAGATGCCGATAAAAGGGCTTTCTCCCCGAAAAGCATAGTATATCAAAAGGGAAAACAGGCTATCTTGAGCATACCTCGAGGGCAGCCATCGGGTTTACGCTCGGGGTGTAGAGAAGCTTCAAGCTGAGTACGTGCCCCATTGCCACCCACGTGATCGTCAGGAACCTGGATGAATCACGGATAAATCAAGTATTTTTTTTTTGAGCCATGGGATGACTGCTTCCCCACGAAGAAGAGGCTCGTACCTGATTCCACTGAGGCATCCGATGTTGTCCTTCCCTGCGTTTGTGGACAGCAGCTTCTTCCCGTTCGTGTAAATGGACCCCGCCAAAAGGGCCCGTGCCGCCTTTCCTGTATCCGTTCAATGTTATCACAACCGCCATTCGGTGCACAATTTTTGGGGGATTGCTCTTATGATGCGGCCTCTCAAAAGCCTCACAAGATTCCTTCTAGCTCGAATTTGCGCTTATAATGAGGCACTTTACCTAGCTGAAAGGATGGATGGGATCGATTCTGAGGAGTTGAAAACTCCTTTAGGATGTAACATTTTTCCAGGTTTGTTCTAAAAGTGCTGAGCCGTTTCTAGCATCGGAAAAGTCCAGCAAGACCTAAAAAATAACTGCAACTCAAACTTGCTAATGTGTGCTCCAGCATCTGGATGTGCTTTGAACAAGAGGAAAATTCTCATAGACTTTGATTTTTTAGATTCCATAATTTTTGGGACTTCATCCACTTTGTTGAGGGAGCGACCAGCCTCTCGCTGCCGTCCAAGCTACACCTTCGCAAATAATACACTATCGAGTATGAAGATATACTGGGGAACTTCAAAGCTCCCCGAGTCACGGAGAACGGAAACGTACAGAAAATATTTTAAAGTAGGATTCAGATCCCTTAGTGCACATCTGAGAGGAAATGGCGACATCATGCTTCTTGAAGACCTTTCCGCAAGAAATCGTTCCAGTTCTCGGTGGACGTTCCGTTCATCGAAACTGCGGCTCAGAAGCCATCAAAAGAGATTTGAAGTGTTTGGATCAGTGCCATGGAAGTGGCATTTGTGAACTTTTGGTAAGGCAAAATGTCTCTCAGGGGGTTTTCATCTCGGCATTGAAGTCCCAGAAATGGGAGGGAAACCTGCCTTTCGTGAGAAGTTGATTGTCAGAGTAGCAGACCAACTCGATAAAGTCGGACAGATATAGCGAAATTTCGATCCATTCATTTTCGATTCATATTTCAACGTTGTGACATCCCAAAGAGCATTATTGAATTCCGGTCCCTCGACTCCCTTTTTCTTTTCTTGCCGAGAAGTTGCCTGCTTAACAGAGAGCGCTAAGCAAAAGTAAGGGCGAAGGGAGAAGTGGAGGCGGGGTCATAATAGGTTCTAGACCTCTTCATATCCTTACCACTTGCACAAGTTTGAATAAACTGTTCCCATGAGTTTTACAACTCATGGCTGGCTCACATCCCCCCCCCCCCACCCCCCGCCGTTAATGTGCCATTGGGCTTACACCAGTCTATAAGTCGCCCGTGGGTGAAGCACACCTACCTAAATCTAGCATTGAACATTGACCCATCCAGGGTTCCAGACCTGCTGGCAATAACGCGCAAAGCCATCATGCCACCAGAGCTATCATACTTGCCAGTGCAGGTCAAGGTGGTAAGGGTTACATCTGGGTAGCTGCATGTCACATCAGCAGCAACTTTTTCCTCCGATTTCCACTGTCTAAAAGAATGTATTGGCTTGTGGATTCTTCTTGCCGATGCAACGTATTATTTGGTGCTACAAGAGTGCACATTATGCGGAAGGTGGTGCCTGTGACTCACGCGCCAGCTATCCCCAAATGAAAGTGAACTGACCGCATCACTTTCGGTCTGCACGCCTCTGGGACTAACCTTCAAACTTCTTGGCACCGGAAGTCTGCTGGAAGATGTCAAGGGCTGTTCCAGACGCCATGTAAACTGCAAGTAGGACGAGGAGAATCCTGTCGGGGAATTTAAATCCCACTCTAAGTTTTCCGCGTCAAGGATTTTTCAGAGCAACACGATGATGTGGAAATTCTCACGTCACTCCGATTTCCGCAGAACTCAAGGGATCGCGAACAGAGTCGTCGCAGCTCATGATTTGCGACGAGAGGGAAAAATTCGCCAGGGTTTCGTCTAGAGAAACCTATGAATGTCACATAGGGACATGTCTCTCACTTTTCGTAGGATCTTGAGCACGAGAGATGATGCCTGTGCCACTGACCTTTAGGTCGTCAGAGGAGCAGCTGTTGGGGATGCAGAATCCGATCGTTAACAGAGGATTTCCTCCAAATCCTGCACTGAGTTCGGCGGATTTCGGTCCCAGAGCGTTCCATCTTTGATGGACATCAAGCGTTTTCCGTCCTTCCCTGAAAAACAATTTCATTATGCGGATTTGTTGCCTCGATAGACGTAATGCGTCAAAGTACATTGGAAAAGGAATAACACCGGCAATGCGATGTCTACAGTTAATGTAACATTGAAATGGTACTGAAAACCCAATCGGATCACAACAATACAATGTCCCGGGAATGTTGAACCCTCACCTCAACATGAGTCGATGTCGATTCAGCCAAACAGCTTTGAATCGAAAATTATTTTTCGAAATCGATGCAACATGACGGATATTGAGATCTAAATACTTTTGCAAAGTTTAGTCAACACCGTTGAGCAGACAGGGTAGTTGGTGAACTCACGTCGCCGCGAAGATCTGGGCGAGGCAGTGCTTCCCAAGGAATCTGTACCCATCATCGAAATTCACAGAAACCTTGAGGCACTCGTCGAAATTCCCCACAGAGAACACGTTCCCCTTGAGGTACCCCGCAGGGATCTTCCCGCTCGCATCCGCCACTGCGAAGAACAGACACCAATCATCATTTATCATTTTATGTCGACTTCGAGGAGATTCAAACTCACTGAGCAGGGACCACGTCGAGGCATTGCCGGAATTGAGGTCTTGGAGGAAGAAGCTGGTGTGATTCCGGCAGAGCGGGCTGACGGACGGACGATCGAGGTCCGGCAAGAGCCCCTGACTCAATCCCCCCAGGCCTCCCACCCTCGTCCCGCGGTTAAGGGATATCCCTTGCCCTGCGAGAAGTGTGAAGAGGCAGGCCAGAAGAGACCACTGCGTCATGGTCTGAACACAGTTGACGAGAGACTCCCTATCAGGATGGTGAGCACTCATGAAAACTACTCTTAATGTGAAGATATGTCTCTATCGAGGACTGAAGGTCAGTTTTTGGACCATTCCTTTCACTTCGTTCAGAGGAATGTCGTCGCAGCGGTCGCTTTGAGTTGTCTATATAACGTGGACTGGTTATGACTCAATGCATTGCATGTGCATATACGCAGAACACATGGATCTACAATCTCAGATTCAGATATGAACCTCAAAATAAATATACTAGTATGTTCCGGCTTGGGTAGTTTTTCGTTCACGTTCATGATCAGTTGACTCGCATGCATTGTGATGGACTATTTTCTTTTCAGAGAAGGCAAAGCGTGCTGTCACGTATCAGTCCTGTCATGGTTAAGAGACACTCGAGTGGGGGGAACCTCTCGGGCTTATCGAGATGGCCCATCCCTTCATATAACGTTTCCATGATGCCCGTTCTCCAGGTGGTTTGAATGAGAACTCACCAAGGGATTTGAAATGGAAAAACTGCAAAGGTTTTTAGTGTCCAATAAAAATTACCACGGTTGGCAAGCATTTATTAAAATAAAGGGGTCACAGCAGGTCTGCGAAGTGAAGCCGAATTCACATACAGTGGAACCTCGCTTAACGAGCATAATTTGTTCCCGAATCTTACTCGTAATGCGAAACACTCGTTAAGCGAATCACTCTGACTGTATATTCACATACAGTCAAACCTCGCTTAACGAGCACCTCCCATAACGAGTGATTCGCTTAACGAGTGTTTCGCATTACGAGTAAGATTCGGGAACAAATTATGCTCGTTAAGCGAGGTTCCACTGTACTTCCTCAATTTAGCATCAGGTTTTTAACGATTCGGATAGCATCATCATCCATCGAGTCCTTCTCCGAGGGACACGATCTCAGTTTCAGCATCCACAAAGTACAATTAATTCTGCTCCTAGAGATGATGGGAACTGATCAAAAAAGAGACAAAATGAATCTCTGACCAAGTGCGGTCTTCCTAGCCAAGACTTGCCTAAATCGTCGAACTTAATGTTTGCTGTAAGGGAATCCTCGTTCAGGAGGGAGGCACTGCGGAATATTTCTCCATGTTTAGGTGCACCTTCCTGAAGGCTCCTGAAATAACTAGGATTACCTAAGTGAGTTTAAAAAGGGCACGAGTTCAATGGAATTGCTAAACTTATGGTAATGCAACAGCCTACATCAACTCAGTTTCTTGTATGACTAGAGGTTTATTTTTATTCAATATCATATGGATACAACACATCCTGGCATGAGCTCGCGACCCAAACCAGAGGTTCGTGGGGCGGTCTATGTGTATCCAACCAAGCTGATATTGTCTACAAAGCCACACCAAAATTGTAACCACAAGGATTAACTCCATAACCCTCCTTTACGAGGGAATAACATGTTTAGGGGTTGTTTTTACCACTTAACAAGCGATCTTTAACTAATGCTGGAATCATAGGTGGCTCCAATAACCAAAATGAAATGTTCAGGTGAAGAAATTAAAATTTTCAATCCTATTTGCCTGTGAAGGAGTCTATGCCATCTTTACTTAAAGGCATGTTACATATTAGTCTTCTTCATGATGCCCAAGAGAGTGCTTGAAGAGAAATTGGATGGTGTCTGCATTGCCTCAAGTGAGACTAGAAAGTTCTTGTCCCATGGGGAGATCCATTCAGCACTTCTTTTCAAGGAAATGTGAAAGGTGGATCTGCTGTCTTCACCTTGTCCTCTTCGTTGCTTCCCAAAAAGCATGCAGCATATCATTTGCTGCTGAAGTGGTTCAGGCCCCTACTGCTTCATGAGGATCTTGGAGCAAAGAACCTAAAAATTAACAATGATTGGCAGAAAACACCAAACCTGTGCTTATTAGTACTTAATGGTATTCATAAAACAGGCATTCCCTAGCGTTTCTCTTCTTGTCTACGTCCAAACATGATGCAGAACGACCAGTGGCGTATATTACGGGGGGCAGAGGGCGCAGCCGCCTCTCCTGGTGCCCCTGGGACAGGGCTTGGCGTCCCCTTGGAGGTAATGCGAAGGACGTACCAAAAATATCGAGACTCTGGCTATAATTTTCTTAATGTGTTTGCCACGAAAATCTAATCCAGTTTCCTTCAATGTGTAACAAATATGCAATGCACACTCAGAAGTACAAGTTGCTCTCTCTTATGATTAACAAAATACAGGCAGTGAAAGGAACACATGCACCAGAAATTACAGACGCGACAACACATTGTCATCTTGTGGATCATCATGAACCTTCTCCACGTAGTTCCCTGAGGTGGACGCATTTCTGCCACCGCGATTCACACTTGCGGATTGATGCCCTGAACCACTGTGGTTCAGGGCATCAATCCGCAAACACATTAAGAAATTTATAGCCAGATCCTCGATACTTTTGGTACGCCCCTCGTAATTTCCCCACCCGATATCGCTAGGGTAGGGCATGGCGCTCCCGTGCTGTTGCCCTGCCCCCCTTGACCCCTTCAGTCAAAATACGCCACTGAGAACGACCCATTCTAATTAATATGCAATCATAATTCAAGAAAAGCTAAAACCAAATGATAAAAACAATTTGAACCTTTTAGGCCACATAGAGTATTTAGCCTGTGTTCACTCCAATGAACCAAAAATAAATAAACTCCATTTCTATCGAAAATCATGCATGACATTTTAAAAGATACCTACATGTAATATACAGAGAAACAATAAAAATAATCCCATTCTTCAAGAAATGACTGGAAAACATGCTTAAGCATGAAATATGATCAAACAAAACAGGCTTGTTTTATGGTGAACAAAAATCTCAAAGGCCCAGCAACCCCTCTCAAATATCTGCCTCTGACAGCTTCCAAAGTGATGACCTAGCAACATTGGGTGGTTTCTTTATTACAGCTACACTCATCGCCAAAAAGTCACACCAAGAAGGATTTGAGCGATCTTGATAAAATTTGGTTATCATACTCGTGCTAGTACGTCATGTAATTGATGCTAGTTTCAAGGTCGTAGGTTGAATATTCACAGAGAAAACTTCCAAAACTTCCAATTTAAATGGGGGCGTATTTATCGCCCACAACGAACATCTAGAAGGAATTTATTAATGAAATGCGAAACAGGAACTTCTATTGATGTTTAGTACAATGGGGCAAAGCTTCAAGGTCATAGGATGAAGCAATGTAGGGAAAACTTGCCGAGCTAGCCGAACGCCCCGAGGGATGGGGAATAGGGCGACTACACTGATCAGGCCAGTTTCCTTTTCTGCTTCCCTCCATTCACTCTGCTTTGCTTCAATCGTTTATCTTTCGTCTTTAAAGCCATGGCAAGGCGACGTCCACAGAGGCAGTTTCGCCAACTTCACCAGTTCGATCGAGGTCGGTCAGTTGGCATGACGGAGGTAGGCCATAGCATGCATCAGGTTGCGAATCGGCTAAGTGTAAGAACGACTACCGTCCGGCTTTGGTGGACTCTGTATCAGAATGGGGCTAACCATGAACGGCAACGAGGATCAGGCCGCCCTCGCATCACGACGCCCAGGGATGACTGGTATTTGAGGATGTAGATTCTCTGAGACCGAAACGCTTCTACCCGTGTTCACGGAAGGTGCTGGTGGTGGGGACAGGTAGTCAGACAGGTTGTCTAGACCGCAGTCCCAGCTGGATTGCACGCCGGTACACAGTCCTCAAAGAAGTCCTTTGGCCCGTCCCCAGCCACCATCATGCCAACTAACCGACCTCGATCGAATTGAAGTTTCGAAGTGAAGTTGGCGAAACTGCCTCTGTGGACGTCATCCTTGCATGGCTTTAAAGACGAAAGATAAACGATTGAAGCAAAGCAGAGTGAATGGAGGGAAGCAGAAAAGGAAACTGGCCTGATCAGTGTAGTCGCCCTATTCCCCATCCCTCGGGGCGTTCGGCTAGCTCGGCAAGTTTTCCCTGCATAGCTTCATCCTATGACCTTGAAACTTGGCTCCATTGTACTAATCAGTAGCAGTTCCTGTTTCGCATTTCATTATTAAACTCCTAGCTGTTCTTTGTGGGCGATAAGTACGACCCTCCGACCCCATTTAAATTGGGTTGTTCTGCAAGTTTTCTCTGTGAATATTCAACCTACGACCTTGAACTAGCATCAATTACATGATGTACTAGTACGAGTATGATTACCAAATTTCATCAAGATCGCTCAACTCCTTCTTGGTGTGACTTTTTTTGGCGATGAGTATATGTAGATCTACTCCCTGCTTAAGAGTGACTGTGTTAACACTATTGGCTACCTTTATAGAGTAAAGCATTGAAACTTCATTTTTTTCCCCGCAGTTTTCAAGGAGCGACACCATACCTCATAGCTACTCTGCATTCACATCATATCTTGTCCTTTTCTGGCTTTGGTTGGCATCATTGTCTCCCCTTCTTGAGAGCATTTCTCACAGCTCAACATTGAAATCCTTCTGGGACATCCCCCCTTGCAGTCAATATAATCAAGCATTCATCTTGATTATTGGCCTGTATTTCCAAATAACTCCAAGAAAATAAATAGGCCTAGGGATAATTTAGGAATTATACATCACATGTCCTCTTACAGATTCACTGGACTTCAGCATCATTTTAGGATTCTTTACAGGTAGAACAGAACAATGAACTAAGACTTTTCTGCAGCACCTACAGCACCTATTGTGAACCACAACTTAGATTTGTAGAGTTGACAGAAAGGGAGAAATAGACCTATTAACAAACATTAAGTTTACATTACTCTCCTATTTTCACACCAACGTGCACTCAAAAAAGTCTTAATCTTTAGCACATTCACTGCCAGGCTCTGTAACACACTGTGGCTCTGTCAGCCACATTGGCTGACATGGTAATCAATGAGTTATAAATTAACCTTGGCAAAAACATGTTGCCTTATTCAAAGGAAAGTTTCAAAGGTTGGCTAGTTTCAGTTCCAGTCCTTTACACTAAATAAGGTGTGAATGAGGGGTCTTTTTAACAATGCAGCCAATAGTAGCAGGATAAATCTATGATCCCCTTGAATCCATAGACGATGCTTTTCATTGCAAGCATAAAAGTTTTTGAAAACCTTCAATCATGGCAGCACCAGTGCACTACACACATGTAAGCCCATTCACTCATTTCTAGTCTCACTATTCACACTCATACATGATTTAAAAAATAGTCAATTCCCTCATTCATGAGTTCACATGGCCTTATGGAGACTCAACATTCCAACTCACCATTCATTTTACCCTTGAAAGATTTTGATAGCAATATGAAGTGAAACGATTTTGCAATCAGAACTGAACGTGTGATGAGGAATTCTCACTAAAGACTTCCAGAGAAAATACCACTATTTGTGCCAATCATTCAAACTGCACAGAAGGAAACACTCTAGGAGGGATAGGTGCGCACTGTGTCTCTGATGTGTGTGCGGCATACGGGGCATGTGGTCAGAGAACTAGCACACTTGGGGCATGTCATAAGGTGCCCACATGGCTGAAAGACAATCCCCATTTCTTCCTCTAGGCACACTTTACAGAGAAACGATTCTGATGAACTCTCCTCTCCAACCCTCTTCCTTCTTCCCTCTGTTGACTCTGCAAGGATGAAAAAATTTATCTAGTGTCAATGAGGGTTAGATCTTGGTCATGAAAGCTGCAAAATGATGGTTACACTCTTTTGTTTTCAATTCCAAGGGATATTGATAAGATACACAAAGGGAGGGATCTCATATTGAAATGCACTTCATCATTTGACGCTTGGAAAGTCTTTTTTACAACACCACTATACAAAGAGCATATATTCTACACCTTTCAATGAACACACATCCTGACATAGTCATGAAAGATAAAGCTGGAAATGGAAGATAATTTCTAGTTGCAGTCCACTGATACTGTTATAAACATCCTGATTGATGAGATGCTCCAAACCATCCAAGTGAGCCAATGGTGTTGTTGATCTACAGGGTTTGACAAAACAAGACTCTAATCACCACTCTTGGTAGCTATTTTAAAGAATCTTGCACTGCTCTGCATAGGCTGACATGCCCCCCCCCCCCCCCCAAGACTTACAAAATTTCATCAAAATGTATCATACATGGGGAAGCCTATAAACAATTACACATCAACTGATGTTAAATGTTGAAAATAAAGAGATGCTCAAGCTGATAGCTGCATTAAGGAAATTCACATGCACTGTGGTTGCCAATTGTGGAGGCCACATGAAATGTCTCCTCCAGTAAAGTTCATTCCTTGCATTGGTCCTTTGTTGAAGAGGTCCTTTTTGATTAAGCAATTTTTCAAATTAGTATTTGATTTGTCTTTTGACTTCCATAAAAAAAGGTTTGCATCAAGTTTCTTCAGATATTCTGCTACTTTAGATTGAATGAGTAAGCAGGCAGAGTCAATTCACTCTAATGGGCATTACATCCCTAATCCACTTTCAATGTCCCATTTCTTATGAAAAATTAACTCATAGCCAAGGTGAAACACTTTTATAAAAATTTCAAACTGATGGGAACACATCAGACCAGGCATAGTACAAATTTCATTAAAACACCTCCAGCAAAAGCATAGATATATAAAAGTCAAGGGTCTCCTTTTTGCCACACCCTATACATGATGGCTCTGCTGTACACAGTTTTCAATCTACATCTCAAAAAAGAATTACTCAAAGAGGTTCACATGTACAATACCAGAATATACCTAAAGCAATATCTAAGGATAATATGAGGGTCACTCAATAAGTTATCTACCTGAATAAGAAAGAAACATCCAAGGGGAAAAATAACACTTTATTTTTCAATGTAGTCACCTTTTAACTTAACACACTTATTCCACTTTGATTCCAAGGATTTTATTCCCTGGGAATAGAAGTCAACTTCTTGTCCATCAAACCAATCAGAAACTGCAACTTTCAGCTCTTCATTGCATGAAAATCTTTTTCCCTGCAAAATTTTTTTCAAGTGTCTGAACAGAAAATAGTCACTAGAGCCAGATCCAGGCTGTAGGGAGGATGGTTAAGCTCCTGAAAGCCACACTCCCTCACTGCTGCCTGAACTTTCCATGATTTGTGGACAGGCGCATTGTCATGGAGAAAAAGGACCCCCCCTTGACAACTTTCCTCTGTGTTTTTCCTCGATGGCATCGTGTAAATTTTTCATGGTGGTAACATAGGAACCGCCAGTGATTGTACACTTGTCTGGCATGAACTCAAGCAGCAGTAGTCTCTCGCTGTCCTAAAACACAGTGGCCATAATCTTTCCTGCAGATTTCTGAACATGAAATTTGTGAGGTGTTGGCGATCTCTTGTGCTTCCACTGCATTGCCTCCTGCTTGGTTTCGGGATCTCAGTGATGAACCCAAGTTTCATCACCAGTTACTATTCTGGGAAAAAAAGTTTCCCCGATTTGTTTAGAAAACTCCAAGTTTTCCTTGCAGATGTCAGATCTGTTCTTCTTCTGAGCTGGAGTCAGCATTCTTGGGACCCATCGAGAACTGACTTTGGACATGTGTAATTTTTCATGAATAATGTGAATCATTGTGCCCTCTGAAATCCCCAGTTCATGAGCTAAAACAGAGACTTTGGCGTGACGATCCTCCAGTATCGCACTCTCCAATTTCCTGATCAGAAGCCTCCACAGGGCACCCTGACCTTGGGTCATCTTCAATCGACTCTCTTCCCCACTTAAACTGCTTGCTCCAAAATTTAACTTGGTAATAAGAAGGCGAAGACGCACCATAAACGTTAGACATAGATAGTTCCATAGACGTTCATGAATCTCCTTAGGTGCTTTCCCTTCTTTGGTGAGGAATTTGATCGCTGAACGATGTTTGACTTTTGTCAAATCCATGACACAGACTCAGGAAAAGAAATCTAATGCAGTACCACTTTGAACAGACTTGAGCCACTGAGCTGGTATAGTGGTGGGGCACTCACGAGACCTGTCGAGACATGTCACAGCAGGCACAGGCCTGTTGCTCATCCCTTTCATATTCAGGTAGATAACTTATTGAGTGGCCCTCGTACCTGTCTGTTGTAATCTAAGTGCAGCCTTGAATTATAATATTATCCTAATTCTTGCAACAAACCTTTTTTTTTCAGCTTCTTGGGAGGGGCATTGACCACATTCTCCCTTATTCTGGCCTTGGTTGATTTCTTAGCCAAGTGGTCCCCTTTTTCTAAGGATCCTCTACTTCCACGACTCGTCCCTGGATCCATTGCTGTGGACATTGTTGTGGTTGACATTGAGCTACTTTTTGTGACTATTGTCATTGCCTCATCATGAGATCTATAGTTTGCCTCTTGCGTGGAATGGCTGTAATGAAAATAAGAGAGAATCCATTGCAGTTTTTCCTTCTTTAAGTTTCAATCAGATTTTCATAACCATGACAAGAATATATCTCTCATAAGTCTATGAATTGTACATCAAACTCATGATCTGATGCATGATATGTTCATTCCAACAATAGATTCATCCAAGTACCTGCATGGCTGGAATACCAGCTGCATGTACTTTAAGTTTATAACATTTAACACACCAAACAAGTTTATATGTGATGGGTGGCAGGAAATAATTTACTCCTCCATGACAGCTCAGATAATGAGACACACATGAAAGGCATTCCATTTCAGACTTTTCACTTGAATTATGAGTTTCACAATATGTGGTGATTTGATCATCCTATGTTTACCAATTGACAATAAACAGAAGCAATCCAAGCTAAGCATTAAGAGTGCGATCTGACCTCCCACAAAGCATGGGAAATCTGCATGACGAAGTTGTTTGCTGCATAATTTCAGAGTTACACTAAGTATCTGGCTGCTGTCAGGAGCTATATTGCCAACATAAGGGGAGAAAATAATTTCATAACCTTCATCTTCTGGTAATTTAAAATAATGCATTGGGTATGAAATTTCAAGGCCAATCCCAGGTTTTCACTTCATGCTTCATATGCATGATACACAAACAAGGATGAGCTTTCATAAACTACTATGTCTCTGATGGGAGACCAAAGAGCCACCACTCCACAGCTACCCAAGAAGAAAGGCATTGAGAATTTGCAAGATAACCAACTAATTTTGCTTCAGCTCAGTCACATCAGGTTGGCGTTCTTCAAGGGAAATCATGTAGTCCACCAGGTTTTCAACTCCTAAGGTGTGCTGATCACATCCCATGCAATGATGGATTGCTTGCTTCACCAATTCCTGTTTGAAGCCCATCTGCAAAACAGACTAAAAAAAAAATGAAAATGAGAAAATGTATTCATTCAAATTGTATGATTGAGACCAATACACTGTCATCCATCATCCATACCTGCTCTAAATACAACAATTTACCATAATTAGCTGAGTGGGACACCTTGGAGTTTGAGAACCACATTTAACCCTTTAACTGCCATTAACCCCTCCAGCTTAAATTTAAATTGCTAACCACCTATGCAAAGAAAATGTCACACATACAGGGTACAGCAATCCAGCCTGAAGGGTTAATGAGTGATCATGGAAGGGTGTTTCTTCTTGCATTTCTTACCTCAGATTTTTCAGGAAAAACTGTACCAGTACAGTTACACACTTACAAAAAAAGGTAAATAATGGAATATATGTTTTATTTTAAAAGTAGAGTATTACTTGATGCATCAGAAGCAAAGGATTCAGCACAGAGTTGTGTCAAGAAAAATAATAGGGCAGTGAAAGGGCTAAGGTATCAATGCAAAGAAAAGCCAGCATGCACACATGGTCTTCTACATTTTACATGAAAATGTCATGCATGAGATATCAGATGGGCTTCATATCTTACTTGGGCCATGTCAGTTCTGAAAATTTGTTCAACTTGTTCATCATCCATTGGATGCACACAATTGTTCCCTGCTTGCACTAGATAAGTTGGGGCTCAATGAAGAGAAAGTGTCAGAAACTGATAAGGATCAGAGTAGATGAAGTGAAAGACAATATGAAAAGATGAGTCAGAGCCCAAAGAAGTGGATGCGTCTGTGTTGAACAGGATGATTCCTAAGAGCATCACATTTGAACAGACCTTGAAACCAAAATATAAGGGAAACAGAATACAGAGCAGACCTCAATGGATGGGGATTGCCAGAGGGTATTGTCTATGAATCTTCTGCCTTTGATCACATTGGCAAGTGATCAATGGGAATACCTGCATGAGTGCTTTCTCCCAGAACTGTTCATAGGCATCCAGTTTGCATAGACATTGCTTGGGGATTAGAAGATTATCCAAAATATATGCTTTAACATATCTCATGCAATACAAGCATTCCAAAAAACTAATACAGGCTACCTTGATATCAAGGACATGGGAATATATTTGATCTAATTCTCCCATTAACTTTCTAAAAATTATGGCTATTTACATGGGACCATATTCACTCTCATGAATGTTTTTCATATGGCAATTGCAATTGCTGCTAAAAACACAGATAAATGGAAATCCTAATGTGGGGATTCCCTTTTAAAAAATGAATACATTTTCTCAAATATCAGACAGAGCAAGCCACCTTTCTTCGCCATTTACAATGGTGTCTCAGCCACATAGCAGCAGAGATTGCTTTCAAACCTAACTGAATCATGATTTCTCAAAATAGCTTAAATGTAATTCTCTTGCTAATTATTTATAAGTTAAGAGAAAGGTAGCAGAATAGTTTAAAGCCATCAATCAGTGCCAGCACTTATTTTCATTGTGCACATAGAGGGAAATCATTAACATTGATATTAAACAATAAGATAGTGGGTCTCTCAGTCCCTCAGTCATGAGCTATCATGCCTCACCAGTTCACTGAGTGGAAGCACAAAAAGAAATATCTTATAAATTAGTTTCTTATGGCACATGCATCACTACCCAATGAAGCCATAAGAATTTGGAGAATGGTTCAGTTTGGCCTACTTGTAGCCATGGAAGTAAACCTATTGCTGGAGAAATCATAAGTGGATCAGAAAAGCAACCAACTGTATCTGGGTACCCATGGATCCAGTCATCTGCCTTACTAATTTCCTGAATGAAACACAGCCCATATTAGCTTTTTCAGAAATCCATTTCCAAGGGCCCTAATACATAAATATAACCCTATCATAAAGGTCTTAGAAGCTCAGTAAAATGAATGGAGTAGGGGGAGATAAAGAAAAAAAAACATGAGACTGGGAATGAAACCTGCAACATTAGCAATTGACATCCAATTCTTGAGCAATTGGGCTACCACCTCTTGTTCCCAAAAGAGGCAAGTGGTAAAATAATGAAAAGAGTAGCAGCTACAGTACCTTGGATATAACTGCTATAACCAGAATATACCAGGTGCCCCCCCCCCCCCCAAAAAAAAGCATCCTGTTTGATGCTTTTTAAAACCTGCTGTGGATCTAATAGGATCGTGATGTCATTGTATCACATTAGAAATACCACAAAATTTGTTTTGTGAAGTTTCATTAAACTATGAGATGGAGGGAATTTGAGGACTGCTGGAATGATTTCTCTCCCTTGACACCATAAATGCTTTTCATGCCAGTTCTCATAGTATTCTGCATGGTATCAATTCTGATAGTACAATGTCTGGCCACTATCTATTCACCTTCAGGATGATACTTCCACCAATCATGGCCATACATGGTCCCCATGCACTGAGCACTGTTCTGGTACAAAAACTTCCTCAAGGAAGTCCTCCTGGGAGCTAAGATTCAGCATCACAGTGTGTCTACATGTACCTGCTCGCCGTTACAACAGGCAGTGTGGTCCATGTGGGAGAACAGCCTTTTGTGTACACTGTGCTGTGGCCAATACTCTGCAATTTTCCTGAAGGCATGTTAGTAATTAAGCTATTTTGAAGAGATTCTTTGGGACTAAGATTAAACAGAGTTAAATATTTGATAAACCAGGTTCTGGTAGTTCCAGGGTTAACCAAAGACATCTAGCCCCTCTTTCTAAGGCAGAAATGGGCAAGGTTAGGCTTTAGATAACAGCAAAGATGCAGGCTCTGCCTACCCTGTTGTGACAACTACTCATTCACATTCATCACATTCAAAAATTCCAGATTAGAGCAGAGAAACCAATTATGTCTAAGAGCATTATAGAGACACTTTGATATTAATAGCTAGCATGTCCAGAGGGGAAAAAAGTTAAGCAAGGTTTTGGTTAATGGCATATTAAAGAAACAGGACTAGAGATATAAATAGATGATACAAAACTTCATGAGTGCATAGGCCTATTTTGCATGGAAATCACTATTCTTTAGACATTCGATTGAACAACCAGGAAGGAAAAGGCAGAGGGTGGCCAATCTAGTCACACCCTATAACATAAGCCTTAGCCAGCCATGAATCACGCTGGCCTTAAGCCTACCCATTCGAGGAACCTTAACGTTAAGCCTGGTCCCAGGCGCATAAATTCTCATTGAGAATGAATATCACATTTTTTTAATGCAAACTACCAGGAAATCCTTCCCAGGATCATGAATGCCGGATCACGATTAGAGTGTGATCAGATCCTCTTCCGCCATGTGTCTGGCTAGCTCGCGCCCACTGAGCCCAGTGGTCGCGCCACTCGCCACAGCGCCACTCGCCGATCACGCGAAGGGGAAGTTGAGCGCCCCGACATCTAGTGGAGGATGCTAAAGACATTCGTGCACTGTTAAGCTACCACGAGGATGTGGCAGACTTGCACAACACCTGTATTGAGCTCACGGCTTTATTATTACAGTTTTCCCAATGAGTTCACACACCCTTTATGTAGGCGGTAAGTACATAGAAAACAATGGTTTGCATTAATGCAAACCATTGTTTTCCGACATCGACGCCAGTGGAACTGAAGTTTCCTCCGGTTTCAATTATTACATGAACTTCGGTACATATCCCTCAAGTCGAAGCACCAGTGACGCCGCTGTCCTGAGGGTGTTTAAACTCATCTCAAAATCACTGTAGTGCATGAAACATGAAGCAGGAACGAGAAGGAGTTCATTCCTTCAAAGCAGGGTTGGCCAACCTTTTTGCCCAATTAGGCCGCATTGCCCTTTAAGGGACCTCCTGCGGGGCGCAATACCTGTTTTTTAAATATTAATGTTAAATTTACAATAATTTTCGGGAAGCGCCGCGGGCCGGATAAACTGTCACCGCGGGTCGTAGGTTGGGGCTTGCTCCAAAGGGGCTCTGAAAGTTGTTCGCCTGTAAAGATGCGAGACCACTTCATGACGCTACCCCCTCCAATGGGAAGAAGTCTACTAAGATTTCTGCAACCGAAAGTCACTAGTTGTAGTTGACACATCTGCAGCGGACGGATGCCGAACCTTGGCCGGCCGCTCCTCGTACCTGCACATCCCCCCCCCCCTTTATTTCGACTCGGATGGACTTTACTCACGGAAGGATACGTTGGAAAGTGTACTCGTTAGTACCGGTATACGAGTTGAAGGAGTCGGAGAGAGATGAGAATTCTGAAATTTCGATTCCCTAGCTTTCTGCCTGACTGCTCCGTTAGTCTTGTCGAAGGCATGAGTTGAGGAGTTCTCAGGGAAAAAAAAAGTGGAAAAGGCGTAATTGGAGAAAAACAGGAAACTCCCATCAGAGCTCGTCTGCGTCCAATCTGAGACTAGGTCTCAGTTATATGGAATCTTCAGCTGCTCCTCATTTAAATTTTGGACGAAATAATTTCTTTCAGATTGCCAGATTGCAAGAAGAAACAGTTTACATATATACGCACCTAATCTATTAATATATTGCACACTATCTCTTCTCTAGTCGTTCTTTCAGTTGTGATTTTTCGTTAGAAAAAATAGCAATAATTTTACTTTGAATTAATTTCCTAACTTTCTTTTCCTCAAAGAAAATTGAGGAGGAATACATGTATGAGCATTTGGAAAAGCTTCCATGAGAGTCCCAGCCTTTTCCCATCATCATTACATCATTACCATTATTAATTTTTTTGTTATTGTTTTGAACGACTCGTCCCTCCTCCCCTTTCCTCCCTGCAAGCGGCCTTAACGAGACAGCTGGACACGTGCGTGCCATGAAGAAAATCCGGGAGCATGAAGAAAACCTCTTCCTCGCTACAAACACATCTGAACCACCTCAAGAACACTCCATCCTCTTACAAGTGTCCTAACGCAGCACATGAGTATGGCTATGAGAAAAAGGGCAGAATTGAAGGACTGCACACTCGTGCCTCGATTTTGCAGGCTATTCTCTTTATTCTTTTCGGAAAATATCTGATTAAGTCATGTCTTCCCTCTGAGATTTGTTTTCCTCTTCCTTAAGGCTTTCCTTCAAGTTAATTTTTTTTTCTTCGGAGAAAGAACAGATTAAGTTCCAAAGCTGACAGAATCAACTTTAGGTACCTTTCAGTAATAAAATATTTTTTCTCAAATTTTTCTCGCTCAGGACTGCAAA